GCTACCGTGCTGGTGGGGCGCGCCGTGCCTGCAACCTTCCTTCTGGCACCCACCGCGGTCAGCGCTGCGCAGCGTGCATGCAAAGCTATCCAACCATTCAATTTAACTTATTGCAAGCATATGGCACTGCCGTGCGGACAAGCAATCGAGAGGCGAGAAGCGAGGCATGCCAGCGGGCAAAGGCAGCCCGGCTTACCATCCGTGTCGAATGCAGTGCCCGTTGCCAGCTTGATCATGACATCTGCCTGTAACTGAGAGATAACACCTTCTGCCTTCCACAGGTCTATTGCCAAAGCCAGAAACTTGCTGAAATCAATGCCTGCTTTGCCCAGCTCGCCCTTCAGCCGCGACCGCTCGGAGCGGCTGCCGGCGGCGGCGCACCGCTCAGTGAAGAAGTCCTTGAACTCCTCCCAGAACACGATGGAATGGCAAAAGAACTTGATCTCGTGGGAGTAGCCTGACTGAACGGCGATGGCGACGCGCGCCTGTGGATGTGCTTCACAAAACCTTTCCCACGAGTTGAAGCGCGACTTCAGCTGCTTAGCTTGGTTAGCTGCACCGCTCAATAGCGGCGTTGGACCTAGAGCCTTGCTGCCGGACTGGGCACCATGCTCATGTGTGCTCATGGGGGTTGAGTTCGTTGGAAAAGCGTATTACGGTTGCTGGGATGCCAACAGAACAAACGGGAGGGAGAATGATGCATGATTGAGGATGATGTCCCCAATGACCCTCCAGGTGGGGGGCCATCATGCCCATCATGGGGCACATCCTTACCGGGAGGCCTACCTGCGTTCAGAGACGCCAGAGATGCTTCATGGACAGAGAATTAGCTCCAAATGACCTTTGCAACCGATACGAATGCCGCGCTGCGAAATGACGCCACGACAAAGTGGAATGAAATGTCGTTGCATTGTCGTTGCATTTCGTGAATTTTTCTCGCTCCTCACTTTTATGCGAGACAAATTCAACCAGTTGTCCTTAATTACACTACTAGAGTTCCAGGAGCACACAAGTACCAACAAACTGCACTGTAAAGAGCAAAACGGGCACCTTAAAGGGTGCGTGGCCGGCAGCAGCAGACAGAGCAGCATGCCCTGCCGGCGCCCCGCTCACAGAGCTCTGGGGCAGCGGCCAGCCAACTGTGTGAGCCGCTCAGCTTTCGCTGCCGCCGGTGCCGGCCGCGGGTGCAAACCGTATGCCCCAGTCGCCGCCCACGGGCAGGCCCGCCCTGCGCACCACCAGCGCCACATCGCCCAGCCCTTCCTTGTTGTACAGCGGGCCAGGCGCCGCATCCAGCTGCCGCTGCTGCTCGCCGTCGGGGCCCACCAGGGAGGCGCCCCAGCGCTGCGGGCCGCCCGCCAGCCCCAGCACCACCACCCGATCGATGACCACCTGCGGGTCGTAGCCCGGCAGCGGCGCCGCCAGCTGCATGCCGCCATGGTCGCCGGCCGCGCTGGCCAGCAGGCCGTCAGCGGTGAAGCGCAGGGAGCGGTAGGCGTAGGCGCCGCGCTGCAGGCGCGCACGAGAGTGTTGTGCGCGAGGAGAAGGGCGCAGCCAGGCGGGCGTGTGAGAGAGGAGCAGTGCCACGGAGCGGGGCAGCATGCGCAGCTATGCGGGCATGTGTGCCCCTCCCAACACGCCCCACACACCCACACACCTGGAACGCGTAGCTCCTGCCGTCATCCACGTACAGCTCGCCAGCCGCCTGCCCCGACTTGTCCAGCGCCACCACCAGAGAGATGGGGTCGCCAGCCATCTGCGGCAGTGGCACATGCATGTGTGTGTGTGTGTGTGTGTGTGTGTGTGTGTGTGGATGGGTGGGTGGGTGATGTGGTGGTGTGGAGGGTCAGAGGCCGCAGGGGGCGCGGGATCAGGCAGCGGCCAGGCGAGCCCGGAGGGCGAGCCCGGCGTGGCGTTGAGCAGGCTGCCTGCAGCGCAGGCGGAGGCCTGCAGCCCCGCGCAAAGCGCACCTGCGCGGAGGAGCGGCGCGGCCTCTCCTTCAGGCTCAGCATGGTGCCGCCGCGCAGGTAGGAGCGGATGAACTCCAGCGTGACGGGGGCGCTGCGGGGGGGAAGGGGTTGAGGTGTGTTGCGGGAGGGGTGGGGAGGAGAAGGTGCGTGTGTGGGCGCGAGGTGCGGGCGCGGGTGGCCGGCCCGGCGCGTGTCCCACAAACCACCACGAGCCACCACACACCGCGCACAGGCAAGCGGAGGTGCGCTCACCTGAAGTTGCGGTGCTCGGGGAGGGCGGAGTCGATGGCAGTACCGTCCCGGTTGTCGTACCACATGTCGCCGCCCGGCAGTACCACCTGCACCTCGCTGGCGCCCGCGTCCAGCACCGGGGCCACCAGCAGGGAGGAGCCTGCAAGCGGCGCAAGAGTGAGCAGGGCCAGGTGGGGGGAGAGGCTGTTGGCACAGGCTGGGCAACGACCGC